CTGGCCCCTTTCAACTGGGTTTCAAACCCTTTCTTGATTCCTAGAGGTCTCGACTAGGAAAGTTGATTGAGTAGGTCAGGCCTTGCTAGCATGGGTTGGCTAAGCCTGATGAAAAAACTTGACCTTCTTCCTGGTCACAAGGCCAGAAAGTCCAGCACTCACCGTACTGCCCCGATGCTGTGATCTGAGCATCCGCAATGTTCCCGGAAGCCAGGCCAAGAGAGTTTTGGCACTCTGCAACAAAGGGGAAGAGAGAGGAAAGAAGATTTATGGGCTAGAAGCTAAGGCCTAGGTGAGCCTTCAGTCCTGGACACTGAGTTAGGTTCCCAAGTCTGGCTCGGCACAGCAGCCAAGGAGCCCATACAGCACTGCTTGCTTTGCACCGTGGTGTGTATTTCAAACCACGTATTTGCTAGATTAATATCTTGGAGCCTCCCCTGGGCTGGTGGCCATTGTACTCAAGTGACATCTCCTGCCATAAGGGCACTCAGTTAGTGCTGGGCCAGCCTTTCAGAACACAACCCAAGACAAGTGGGGGCTTCTTACAAACCTAGAGTTCAGGCCAGGCTTGCTGAAAGGTGCACCAAGTTCTGTGGGGCTTCGTGTGAACCTGGGCCAAGTTTCCAGCCACAGCTGGGCTTCGAGGGTGGACCCTTCAAGATTTGGAGAGTAAATCACATGATACCCAGTAGTTTCAACTAGGAACCAGGCCAACTTGGCAGATTCAGTTGAGCATCACTTAACTTCTTGATTCACTGGAACCTGGATTCCAAATTGAAACTCAGGAGGTGGGGACCCATATGAAACAAAACAGACAACGGCTTGTGCCAACACTGGAGAATTCAAATGGCCAAGTTCCCCCCATCTCAGTTCTGACCAGGTCCTGCTATCTGTGACCCACCACCCTGCGCGGCTAGGGTATTGAAAGCATCCCAGGATGGCAATACTCAGAGCCAATGCCACTTCATTGTGCTACAACGTCGCCATGTGACGATGCGATGCTGCAGATCAATAGTGCTAACAGTCACTGTGCAGTGCAGATATCAAGAGGCATCACAGTGCAGTGACATGACAAGTCTCTCCTGGAAGTTTTGACGGGGGTTGAATTTAAACACAGTGTCAGAGATCTTAAACTCGCTTTGAAGGGAAGATAGAACCATGAACCCTTGCTTTTTGCTAGCACCATAGGGACAATACTAAATACAGCAAGATCAGAGATCAGAGGGGTAGCCGTGTTAGTCTGAATCTGTAAAAAGCAACAGAGAGTCCTGTGGCACCTTTAAGACTAACAGAAGTATTGGAGCATAAGCTTTCGTGGGTGAATGCCCACTTCATCACGAAAGCTTATGCTCCAATACTTCTGTTAGTCTTAAAGGTGCCACAGGACCCTCTGTTGCTTTTTTCAAGATCAGAGAGAACACCTCCACCCAGCCTTAGGTGTTAGTGACCCTAACTGCTACAGCTATCACAGGGGACCCCAAAAGCCTGAACTCAGGTCCTGGCATGTAAGTAAGGTAGGAATTGATTTTCTAGCATTTTAAAAAATTCTTTGCACATTTTTAAATCTGCCCTTACAGACCCTTGTTCCCGATTTTGACCCTTACGGGTGATATTAGCTTTTATTATTGGTTTATAAGCCAATCTGGGATGGTAGCTCAGAGAGCCCTCTGATACACTCTCCTCTCGTTGGGTCACTGGTGTGACAGCTGTGTTGACAAATGTCTCTTCTGTGTACTGATGTCTGGCTCCCAGGCCTGTTTGTTGCTAGGCAGTTTCTTTTAAACACAAGTTTCTATGAACATTTTGGCTGACACCTCCTATCTTTTAATCAATCCTTTCCTGCTGTTGTGAAACTAGTATTTAAAATGAGGTGGAAACTGATTTACACTCTTGAGCTGGCAAAGACTTTACTGCAATTCCCAACAGATTTTGCACCACTTTACATGGTAAAGAGTGTTGCTGAACATGATAACCTGTGGCCAGCCTCTGTGACTCTCGGCAAGTCACGTTGCCTCTTTGTGCCTCAGTTTACCTATCTACAAATGGGTATTTCCCTATTCAGTTAGCCAGCTGGATTGGCGCATGCAGTGGAGGTGATATGTCTATGCACATTTTTGTACGTGGCCCATAGCTTCTTAGGGTTTGAAAATCAGGCTGCTGGGGGCAAATTTTTAAAAGTGGTTCAAGCTGGCCTCCAGTTTTGCACTCATAGTCACATGCCCCCTATTGGATGGGGGTGTAATTCACTGCAGGTGTGAATGACAGCAGGTAGCTATCCTGCTGTCTCTTCTGTAGGCTTGGTCAGGTGGTTAGATTGTTCAGTGCTGTAACTCTCATTCGCCCACAGTTGACTGAGGGTGAAAACTGGTGTGTCCAAGTTTGAGGGCCATGAGGGTAAAATTTTCAAAAGCACCTAAGTGACAGGAGGAGCCTGAGCCCTGTTCTCCAGAGTGCCTTAGGCAGGTACTTCTGCACCTGTGAAAATGCTCCCTCCTGCTGTCTAACATGAAATTCTCAGGAGGTGAATGAAGAGTCAGCGAAGGTGACTGTAGAACAAGGAGAAGAATCACTTACTCGGGTCATACACAAGGAACAGGGCACTCATTCCAGCCTGCTGGTGCTCTCCAACCTCACACTCCACTCGCCAGATTCCTGGGTGGGAGGGGCGCATTTCCACCGTCCCAAAGACACCTGGGTGAGAAGAAGGGGAGGGACAGCAGAACGAAGGATTATTTCTTTCTAGCGGCTAAAAGAGCAGCCAGTGGGCAGATTGTGCTGCCATGATGCCAATTGCACTGGACAACTTATAGAGTAAAGTACTACCCAAGGGTAGTATGAGTGCCAGGTTGCTTCCTGAGCCTTAACAGCACATTGACTGGGTCAAATTGTTCCCTGGTGTAACTTCATCAAAGCCAGTGCAGTTAGACAGGAATGAGTTTGGCCCAATAAATGTACTTGAATTTGATACTTAATAATAATTAACAAAAATATGAATTGTTTGTATTACATTGCACTTAGGAGCAGGGGCACCGGAACGGGAGAGCCAGGGGGCCATGGCCCCATCACTTTTTACCAGCCATAAAGCTGAGCGACAGGGGTTACAGGGTGGAGAGGAGTGAGTGGGGCGTGGGGTCATGGGGGAAGAGGCGGTGCAGGGGCGGGGGCAGTGTGAGGGCGGCGGCTCACGGAGAAGGGACGGTGTGATGGTGGGGCTTCGGGGGGGGGGGGGAAACGGCCGGTGCGGGGGCTGGGCCTGGGGGTAGTACAACACTGGGATGGGGCAAATGTTTTGGGCGCCTGTGGCTCCCCCCACTTTTAGGGCACTTTCACCACTCATTCCTAGGAGCCCTAGTCATGGACAAGGAGCTCATTGTGCTAAGTGCAGGACAAACAGAACAAGACTCTTCAAAGCCAGTAAGGCGTCACCAGCTATCGGACATTTGGATCCACATCTTCGAGACAGTGTTGGTTCCAGGGCCTTTTTCTTAGGCTGAGAGGCTCTCATCTATTTAGGTACCCCTTGATGTCAGGTTGGTGCCATGTCCACCCTAATCAGAGTGCATCAGCTGCACTAAGCTAGGTGGGCACTCTTTGGAGCTAGGCTGCTGGCATGCCTGCTTCTCCTGCGTCAGTCCTCTCCAGGAGACAGGTTAGCTCCCAGCACCTGGGTCAACTCTTACCAGGATAGAGGTTGTAGACTCCCATTCGATACTCGTGGTTCGTCCTGATGGCAAACTGTTGCCCGTGAAAATAGACTGAGTGGATGTCCTCAGTGCCGCCCACATTCAGCAGGTACCATCGCACCTTTTGGTGCTGAGCCATCACCAGCCCAGGCAGTGCGTCCATCACGTAACCATTGATAGCTGGAGGAGAAGAGCACACTTGGGATGTGCTGTGGCAGGGGAGTGGTTCAAAGTCTGCAGACAGCAGCAGCCACACTGGAGTGGGCTGAGGTCCCTCTTGCTGTTATCCAGGGGATGGGCAAGGAAGGGGATTCTGCAGCCCTTGATCTGGAGCTCTGCTAGTCAGACTGCTGCTGTAACAGCAGCCCCTGCAGAGCTTCCCTCCTACGTGGGCTGGCTGGATAGGGAGGGGAGAGGAGCCGGAGCTCTTACCATGGAAGTAGCTGCTCCTTCTAAAATCAGGATCGTCCGGCTGGATCTGACAGAGGGGTGGGCAGTTCCTCTCCATGTTCTCGGCGAGATACCAGCTTTTGGTCTCATCGAAGATAGTGAAGAGCAGAGAGAACTCCTGCACCGCCAGCTGCCTCCTGAAGGCAGGGCTCAAGACGCCGGGGCGGCAGATAAGCAGCGGCCCAACTAGGCCAGAGTGCAGATCCTTCTCCTAGGAGAGAAAAATAACCAGAGAGTAATGGGAATGTAGAGTCCACTCCTAACTTCCACCCCATCCACAATGCCACAATGTGGCTACTCAGAACAACATTAACCACTGTCAGGCAGGACTCTGGAAGCGTGTGCTTCGTCCCAGGATGGCTCTCTCTGTGCCTGTCAGACTCCAGCAGCGCACTGTGAGTGCCAACCACAACTCCAGCAGCATGTGCTGCCTCAGACTAGACAGACAGGTGAAGAGGCTTTGGCTATGAACGCTCCCAACTCACAGCTGAAAAGCCAAGAAATGGAGAGGAGCAAGGCGTGTGCAGAGCCTGGCACTGGGAGTGGGAGAGGCATGCTGGGTTTCAGCAGGGGGCAGAAGCCCCCTCCCTCTCTGATCCCAATCTGACATGGGGGAAGAACACACACTTAGAATTGCTCTTATTTGATTTATAGTTCTGACTTGCTGGGTTCCCTTCCCAATTCCGCTGCTGATGCAGTGCCTGACCTCGGGCAAGTCGCTTAGTCCCGCTGTGCCTCAGTTGCCCCACCTGAAACACTTTGGACAATGGTACAGGATATTGTGAGCATTAGTCAGTCTGTGGTTGAGAAGGACCAGATTTTTAAGTCTGATGGCTGCTTTATCCATAGCCTGCACGGGGCCAGTCATAAGGATGCCCTAGATATCCCCCCTGCATGGCTCTGCACTACCTAAGGACTCACCAAGGCAGGGGAAGTTTTGTACCTCTGGGTCACACAAGCAGCCAGAGAGGGGCTGAGGATCTGGCCTGTGAAATGTGACCAGGTGGTAGGAAAAGCTTTCTAACTCTCAGGGTGATTAAGCTTGGGAACAGGCCCCCATGGGAGGTTGTGGGATCCCCATCACTGAAGGTTTTCAAGACCAGGTTGGACAAACACCTGGTCTAGAGTTCCTTGGTCCTGCAGGGGCCTGGACTTGATGACCTATCGAGGTCCCTTCCAGCCCTACGTTTCTATTTCTACACACTCTCGGACCCATTCACAATGGCCCGATGAAAGCCCCCATCAATGTGTCACAGAAATATCCTATGCAGTAGTGTCCCAGGCACCAACCCCCTTGGGTCTGCATGGAACAGGGGAGCTGGGATTCTGGCTGAGAGACAGCTGAGGGCAGAGATGGCTAGCAGAGAGACCAACAGGTTTCTCATTCATGGTTCCCACCTACCAGGTTAACGCTGGAGAAGTAAGCCCAAGCCTTGCAGTCAAACTCATTGACAGTGGGTGCCATCTGGGGCAGCACCTTCCAGGAGTACTCGCGGAGCTCGCCAGGCTGCACCGCTTCCTGGCTGGGTGTGTTGTTTTCCCCCAGGCCTCCTTGGTAGGGCAAGAGGTTGGAATGGAAGGAGTAAGGCCGGGAAGCTAGGTTCTTGAAGCTAACCTGCACCGTGGGGGGAAAGAAGCAAAGACAAGGGTTACATTCCTTGTGGGGGGAATCTTGGAGCCAGGGCACTGCCTACACTCCTTCCCTGGGTGGGGCACTGGCTATGCCCCATACCCTTCCTGCTGTTGTTCTTTAGTGAAGCTCAGTGAGACAGATCCTAGCCTCAGTTCTGCTTGTGCATCTCTTACTGGAATCACTGGGAAAGGTACATGTGTTTTTATGGGCAGGATGTGTGTTTTCTCCACAGTGTCAGTCAAACACAGGCCAGTCCTTGCCATTGCTTTTTCCCCCAGCTCCAGCCTCTGGCTCCATATTACCTGGTCTTTTCTTCTTCCCCAGTTCAGGGTTGTGCCGCCCCCTATTGTATGTGTAAACAGAGTCTGCATGAGCTCTCCCCTGACATCTAGTGGTGAGCTGTGGAAAAGGACTTCAGGAGCTGATCTCATTTGCATGGACACACCCACTCTGCCTAGGTGCTCAGCATGATGTGATTACGGACTAGATGATCTCCTGAGGTCTCTTCCAACCCTAATCTTCTATGATTGCTTGTCCAAATGATGACTTGTGGCTGGTGTTGGATCCCCAGTCTCCTTGTTATTGGGGTAGGAGTAATAAAGGGTTGTTATCCTTGTTGTATGAACTGAGGGCTGGAGAACTGTACCTGCATACCCCGATGGAGGGATTCACCCTCAACTGAACGGCACTCGCTAGGCAGGGGACATGGGTTCCAAAACCCAATGAGTTGAGAAAGGGTGGGGGATAAGTGTCTCTTGGTCTGTCCAAGGCTGTGATCAAGTGTCTTGATGTTTTTGGTCTTTTGGCCTCGAGACGATAAACCTTGCCTTTGTTTCTGGGACCTTGAAGTGAAAAAATTCTCTAAGTTATATTTGTATTTGGTGGTGTGGGTCTTGTTTAAGGGTCCTAAGCACCATTTGACCCTTTCTCTCTCTCTGGTATAATAAAAGAGCTAATTTAGACTCAATTGAGTGTCTTATTATGTGCTACAGAGCTGAAATCACTGATACCTAGGTCTAAGTATTAGACCTACTTTGGAACAGTGTCTCTATTGCAAGAGACTACCCAGTGTGCACCAATAGTGAGGCTCCTGCACTAACAGCTGAAATCACTGAGAGCTGTGTTAAGTGGTGGGACCTGAAGACATCTTGGTGAGTGGCCAGCTGGGTGGCTGGTGGAGAGGACCAGAGCAGAGTCCCTTAGAGAGGTGTGGCAATCGGCTGGGGGGTGATGAGCAAGTGACTGAGCAGCAGAGTGTGTAAGGTGCCTCCTTATACCCAATTCCACCCAGGGTGGGAGATGAACTCTGTGGATGAACCTCTGAACTCTGGGGCTGCACTGGCCAAAAGACAGCAATTGTGAGTGGGGTGCAGAGAAGGGATGGGCACGTTAAAGGGACTTTTTGGTTGCTGGACTTAAGAACCTGAGGGGAAAAGGACATTGCCCAACTTACTTGGGGGTGGGTCTTTTGCTCATGGTTTATGTTTATGAACCCTAGTTGTGGGGTTTTCCCAAATTAAGGCTGAGTTACTTCCCTCCTTTTATTAAAAGTTTTTGCTACACTCAGACTCTGCTTGCGAGAGGGGAAGTATTTCCTCTTAGAGGCGCTCAGGGGGTGTTGTGTAATTGTCCCAGGTCACTGGGTGGGGGCTCGAGATGATTTTGTGTTGTATTGGTGAAAAGGAACCCCTAGATACTGAACCTGGCCCTTGCTGCTGCTGGCTCCACCTGGCAGAAGGATTACATATGCTAAGAATTTCCCTCTTCCTTGATACATATGATGAGTACAGGTCTCATCCACACTGGACTGGGGGGTGTCTTTGGACTCAGTTTCAGCCGGTCAGCAAGAATGGACCCCAGCCTGGGTCCCAGCTTTGCACACTGCCCAGCCAAACTCGCACTATCACCCAGCTCAGCTGGAGCTGTGTGGGAAAAGTGGCCTTGTCTGCATGAGCAAGGTGTGAACTGAAGGTGATCCAGTTTCAAACTCTTTTGTGGATGCTGTTATTTGGGTTTAGCTTGAGTCCAGTTGGGACAAGTTGATGCTAAACTGAAATAGGCTCCTCTTAAACCAAAATAAGAGTGTCCACACAGGAGTCTGCACTAAATAGATAGGTTTAGCAATCTATTAAACTGATGCTACTTGCCCATGTAGGCAAGGCCTGAGTTTATACACGGTTCCTCAGTTTGGTCCCCTGCTCTTTAGGAAGGATGAATCAGAGCCTGATTGCACTTGGGGACTTGTGTGTCTCCAATGGGAGCCATTCTGAATCCAGTTAGCTTTCTTCCCTTCCCTGCTCCTTCTGCCTTTTCAGAGGCTCTTTCCCTGAAGTGCCATGTGGTGTTTCTACAGAGACTGCTCTTGTGATCAGGAGACCCTCATCTGTGACCTGGACCTGCTAAATGACCTTGGCTGAGCCACTTCACTGCTCTGTGCCTCGGTTTCCCCTCCCAGCCTTTGTCTATGTGCATTGTGAGCTCTTCAGAGCAGGGACCATCTCTAGCTATCAGTCTGAGCATCACAAGGGGGCCCTGATCTCAGCAGGGGCCTCAGCCAGGGCCGGCTCTAGGTTTTTTGCCACCCCAAGCAAAAAAAATTTTGGCTGCCCCCCACCCCAGCCCTGGGCT